GAAAATCATAATTTTGTTTTGTAGATAACCCTATATACAAATTTTTGTCGTTGATTTTAATTAAACTAATTTAAAAACTACAATATATTGTTTACTTTATTATTTAAAATAAATAATTGTTTATGCATTACTTCCTTATATACATGGTGTGGATTTCATAGGGATTTCGAAATAAAAATGGTCATAACTTGTTAAATACTCTAAAAAATAGTAATGCGAAACCTACGATAAGAACAAGAATTATAAGAAGAATACAAATTTGAAAAAATACTTAAGGTGTTTGCTATACCACCTAGTTATTAATCACCTTCTAGAATTCCACATATTTTCCAAGTATGGAGAAATATCATTGCCTACATTTTTTCTAAATAAGTTTTTTGTTGGATATTCTGTACTGACCGATGTCGCACTAAAAACTCACCCTGTATATATATATATATATATATATATATATATATATATATAGTGGAGTGATTTCGTAGACTTTTACTAAGACAGGCTTAACCTAGGTTTCCCTCCGTACACTCTAGCTCCAACAGCTTCATCAGTTTTAGATCTGTATATTAGCATTAAATATAGTAAATAACGAAATGCCCCAAGAACATAATTTCGGAATCATATTTTTCCTAAAGGTTTTTCCATGTAGTCTATCTTTTACTAATAATAGCATGATTTTTCAATAAGTATCAAATATATTACACCTTCTACTTACGTTGTTGCTATTTCCATTATTTCAATTTTTCTGTCGTACCTTCAATTGTCTATAAGCTTCATCTTCGTTTAACAACGGATCGAAAAAAGTTTTATGTATTTTCATTATTCTTCTTAGTTTGCGAACTAATTCCTCAGTTAGCCGACCAACATTGAGTTAGTGCATATTTGTTATACTCCGGTATTGTAAAAGTTAAAAATCTCAAAATTCTTGGGAAAATCTAAAGTATCTAATAGCCCCTAATAAACCAGGGAAAGATCCAGAGAATCCTAGTAGCTACAGAACACTCTTCTTGATCTATCAATTTCTTAAATTATATAACACAACAGACTGATCATGCCCTGAATAGAACGACAAATACCTCATTGCACAAACGCTTCAATGGACTGGCCAAACCCTAAAACTTAAAACTTGGAATACCATGAATTTGATTTGAACGGGGGTTGCTCCAGTAAAGGCAGATATGGTTAAATGGGGAAAATATACCAAGATGATGTAAAGTGCTACGGAGAAAAAAAAAATACAAATGTGGGTTATTGCGAATTAATGTGTGATAAATTTTCGATAATATAGTACTTATAGAATTTGATAATGAGTTTAGTTCCATAAATGCACCATTACTGGACACTTGATAGAGTAGACTATTTGAATTTTACACGAAATTATATGCCGTGTGCTTATCGATGTTCTTATGTATATCGGATGATAAGAACGGATTCTTATCGCAGGCTATGCGATAAGAATCCGTTCTTAGTAGAAGGTTTTCGACTTGAATATTCTAAACGGCAGATCCTAAATGGCGATCGAAATTTATAAAAATTTAGAACAAAACAGCTTATTGTAAGGTTTTTGGCTTTCCTGAATACAAATTTGATATCAAACAAAAGTGAAAATCTTAAAACACTGGATCCCAAATATTTCAGTTATAATATTAACATATGCAATAAAGCTTTTTTAATTTTTTTAACAAACGGCTTTAAAAAAAGGTTTCAGGAAAGGTAGATTAACAATAAAATCAAATCAAATTTTCCAGATGAAACAATTACAACATAATAGTTATGAGCCAAATATTAAACTGTACGTACTGACTATAAAATATAGTGTAAGCAAACCGATGACTTCATTGACTGATATGGTGTATACGATGCGATGATTTCATTAAAAATACCGACAAAACTAATAAAATTAATGAACATGACTCTAAATGAAACAGCGAACGAAATAACGTACAGGGAATTTATCAAGGACATTTGCAATACGTAGAGGGTTCAGGCTAGGAGACCTACTGTCTATAACATTATTTAACTAGATTTTAGAATTTATTTGGTAATGGATTTTGACAAGAGCTATGAATCATGCCGATTTAGTACACAATTTTACCTATTATGTACAAGGTCATAGCTCTTGTCAAAGTCCGTTAGCTATACAACTGAAACGGAAGGCATACTTAGTTTTGACTTTGCCGACGATTTAGTCACAAGACCAAAAACGGAACTAGAGAAATATTTCGAATCAAGAATGAAGCTGTTTTGATTCTATATTCTAAGAGTAAATGGTTAAAAATAAGAATAACGGGATCACTGCAGAAAGAACAAATAAAAGAAAACATAATAATGGAAACAAATATTGTTTCGAAAAAATTAAATAAATCGCATACCTTCGATTGATAGTTACAAAAATTGCTGACGCAAACACCAGAAAAAGATTCTGAAAAAAGTCCAGAAGAAAACTGATAAACAACTCTATTACAGAGATAATGAAGATAGAGCACACAATAGACAACACTACACATACAGTGTGCTATGCGGATGACCCGGCTATTTCATAATTTTAAGAATAACTTCCTTAGTTTTTCTCTATAACCATGTATACCTCGTGTTAGTCTCTCAAAACCAGAACTCGATACGCAGACCCTTATTAACTGCTGTTTATAATTTCTTTTTGAAACAAACCCCTCTCAAAACTCTCAATAAACAGATTAAAAACTAGATAAACGTTACGATTCAATGGACAGTGCATTAAGTACTGAATAAATTCGACCGACCAATGTAGTTGTGACTCCACAAGATACCTATTCCAAAAAAGAATAACCGAAAAAAGAAAAATACATATATCACAGAAAGTGATAGTCGAATAAAGCTGGGCAAAAATTAAATCTAATATAATAATAGCCTCGGCCAAGGAGGTTCTTTTCAAAGAAATATAAATAAAAATAATTCGTTCCAAAGGCGAAGAACTTCATGGTTTTGTAGGGAAGTGAACGAAAAATGTAAAGAAAAGAAAACAGCTTACCTGAAATATATGTCAACCAAAACACAAGAGGTATACCATAATTACAAGACAATTAGAAACGAAACACATGGACTTGTAAAAAAATTAAAAAATGATCACTGAGAACGCTTTTTGAAAGAACTGGAACATGATTTTTACGGTCTGCAAAAGGAAATACGGCGCTTCATAAGAGGTCAAAGAACGGAGGGAAAGGAACAAAACACATAGAGAAGGATACGTGGATTAACTGCCTAAAACAGCTCTATGCAGAGTAAGAACAAACGACGCTAGAACCGGAAAAACCAGAAATTACCACAAATGAAGAACTTATAATAAATGTACAGGAAGTTTGGAAAATACTTGAAAGCCTGAAGAACAGAAAAGCAGCAGGTGAAGACGGGATGCCAAACGAATTACTGAAATATTGTGGAGCAGCAATGACGGAACAATTAACAACATTAATTAATAAAATTATAAAACACAATAAAATACCGGAAGAATGGAGAACTAGGGAACTCTTCAAAAAAAGGGGATAAAAAACAGCCAGAAATCTACAGAGGTATAAACTTGTTAAATACTACGTTAAAACTTACAACTAAAATTTTATAAGCGCTAATAAATCAGAGGATAAGTTTAGCAGATGAACAACAGGGTATTCGTAGTGGAAGATCGTGTACAGATGCAATATTCGTTATAAAGTAAATTACTGAGAAATCACTAGAGTTTAATAGACAAGCATTTCTGTGTCTATTGACCTGTAGAAAGCGTTGGACAGAGTAAGATTTAACGATGTAATGCATCTTCTGTACAATAGAGAAATTTCCCTAAATATTATAAAAACTATCGAAAATATCTACCAAAACAACAAAATGGAAGTCAGAATATATGGGCAATGTACAGAAACTATAGAAATAGGCAGTGGAATAAGACAAGGAGATTCATTGAGCCCCATGCTCTTCAATTTGATCATGGATGAAATCATCAAAACCGTTAACAAAGGAAGAGGATACAGAATGGGAACCAAAAAAATTAAAATACTCTTGTTACGCACACGACGCAATATTGATGGCCCAAGACGAAGATAGTTTACAAAGACTGGTCCACAGATTTAACATAAGAGCAAAAGAATTTAATATAACAATCTCATCTCAGAAAACTAAAACAATAGTATTCAGCAAATTACCCATAGATGTAAAATATAAATTGATGGCATCAGTACTGAACAAGTAGTGGAAATAAAATACCTAGGAATTACACTACCCAGCTATAGAGACCTGTACAAAGAAGTGAGAGATCAAGTGCAAAAAGCAATAGACTGTCAGGATGTCTTAATAACACTATATGGCGAAACAGACACATGAAAACAGATGAAGTCAAGAATTTATAAAGCCAGTGTAAGACCAATAATGACATATGCCTCAGAAACAAGACCCGACACAGCCACCACGCAAAGGCTGCTGGAAACAGTAGAGATGAGAGCACTGAGAATAATTACAGGAAATACGCTGAGCGATCAAAAGAGAAGTGAAGACATTAGAAGAAAATGTAACGTACCGTGTATAAACGGCACAAAATAGAAAAAGAATGGAATAACCATATAAGCAGAACGAAGGAGACCCGTGTCGTCAAAATAGCAAGAGATAAGTCACCAATCGGCAGAAGAAGTATCGGACAACCGCGCAAAAGATGGAGTGACAGCCTTCCATAGAGTTATTAATCCGCCAATTAACGAACAGAATTGCTTATAAGGAGGAAGAAGAAAAAGAATGTAGTTGTTAGACGACATTTGTTTCGTGGCAACTATCAAACGCGAAATTATTAAACGCTTGAAAGTTTTCTGAACTTTTTCAATTTTCTGTGCAATCTTCTTTCCGCAAAAACCTGAAAAACTTTTAAAAACGATGAAAATTGTTAACTCGTTAAAGATTTAATATTTTGTTTGTTTGGCAACACCGCCTTCTCCAATATTCCTACCGCCCCACTAGAATACTTTATCTCAAAAATTGTACTGCAATACTGCCTGTTTGACTCTTATTGTAAATATGTATTCCGTTAAGCGGCTACTTAAGCCTTAAGCACACAATATTTAGTGTTGTTTTAAAAGCAAACCATTCCACGCAGGGATATTATAATTTTGACTTTCAACAAGGTGTTTGTGTTTGTTTTTGACGTTATTTTTGCGACATGTAAATATCATGTGAATATTTTTGGTCGGAAATATTTAAAGTGTCACATACTAATTATGTTTTCTACGCCTGATTTAAGTAAGTTTTTGCATTTAACAATTAAGTTAACTTTTATATTTCACACATTAATACATATTTATACAAATTTATAGATGACAATATGCTAACAATAATAAAAAAACGTAAAAATTCTTTAAATAACAACAGTAAACGTTTCGGAACCACTTCCAAGTAAAAAGTCTTTATTCAAAAAGAATTAACCCAAAATTATAGTGCGTAGAAAATTCTAAGAGATGGACAGCCCAAAACTTTTGCGTTCTATCGTCAGCAGGTATAATATCGTTAAAATATTGCTTACTAGTTTTGTATTTAGATACCTACTATTTCTGAGTCGAAGTGGAGCATATTAAAACAGTTATTTTCAGTATGTAATATACTTAGTGATAACTTACAATTGATGGAAAACCTAAATTATATGGATCTTAAGAGCTATTTCTTGGAGCTTAAAGGTAAGTTAATAAGAAGCGGATAGGGGATTTGACCCACTGGGCTAGAGTTCTTTAAACCTTGAAATATCTCATGTAAGTCTTGTATACTTGATGGATCGTTAACGAATGTTCTACAGTCGCTTGAATACCTTTGAAATGAGTTAGCTAAATCATTCCCCATTTGCATACCATCTATAATCAAATTTCCTTCTAAGTTAAGAGACATTATGAGGTGTATAGGGAACATCTTTTCTTTCCTCTGCTAAGATTCACACTTTAGAGATGACAAATATTACTTTGCTTGATCACGTATCTAGTGTGGGTCCTACATTATTTAAAATTTGTTTTAGTGCCTCTTCACAATTTTATGCCACCAGGGAATTGTATGTTGTCGTTTTGAATTTTTTGTTTACCCTATAGACACCATAGCTAGTTCTTTCAGAATTGTAGTAAATAATGTTTTAATAATATTGTCGATGTCACCTTCTAGTTTTAGAAACTAAGCTAGTGATTCCTAAAAAGTGTTTTTTACAATGTCCAATTTGCATTTTCAATCTTCCATTTTTTTGAGATAGTTGTTTTTTTTTAAATTTACTATTTCTTATTATAATCGACTAATATTTGCTATCATATGTATGTGGTCATACTTCCCAGTTTAGAGTTAGGTTCTATGTGTTTGTCTTATCGTTTGGTAAGTATATTTTTAAGTAAATTTTATGAGGTGGGCAAGCTGCAACCTGGCCTAAGCAGCTACGATAACTTTATCAATATAGTGAAGACTGTGTCACGGAGGCACATTCATCGGGGCTGCTGTACTCAGTTTGACATAAGATTAGCCATCTTAAAAATGAACCTGCACCAGGAGTACCAAGCTAAATACGAAGAAGATCAATTCTGATGACACCATCTAGACTAGAGAGGAACTGATAAGATATTTGGCTAATGGAAAAAAAGAAAAATGGACGAAACTATTAAAATGATCTCGACATGAAGCAAAATAGTATTCGGGCACGGAAGCTTTTTAAAAACTTGAATAATGAATCTACTGCTCTACAGACTGATATCTCAAAAGTAACACCAGACAAATAGCTCATAAGCTTTTATTTAATGGTATGACCATATGCAAGAAAATAAGAGAGCCCATAGTACGAGTAATAGTCGAAGAAAAAATAATTTATGGCCACACTGTTCACACTTGAGGAACTGAAAACTGCTGCCAGACACATCCCCCAGTCAATGAAGAAAAAGAACTGAAAAAATCTTATACAGATATTTGAAATATCTAAAAGGTATAAGAGGGGTAGAATTCCATTTGTTTATCCCAGAGAGTAACTGCTGTAAAGTACAGTACTTGCCCAAACAGTAACTATATAGGTATTTTTTAAAAGGGCTGACTTTTTAGCTTATAAACATTTATAATAGCTTTGATATTGTTTATGCCACACGTTTATATATAAGCTCAATCAAAAGCTGGTGAAAAAACACGCTTTCCAAAAAAAAAACAGATCCTTCTATGACCAAAAGGAACCATTTTATTCTTAAAATCATAGCGTTTTATTCTTAAAATTATGGATTATTATCCACTAAGTGTAGAGGAGAACTGTCGAGCTCCGTTTTTTTTACATTGGAACTTCAAATTAAAGTGTGCTGGCAAAATTTGCAATATCTTGGAGTCTATCGCACGTAGAACCACGATTTTTTCTAGACTGGAGTAACTCAACAAAATAATAAGAATTGTGCTATTTTCACCTCTCGGAAAATCCGGAATGATAAATTAATTAAATTTTTTCATAAAAAGTTATTTAATTTTATTATTATTTCGTAAGAAATTGTTAAATTTTATTGATAAGTGTATAATATTTATATAAATATATAATAATTATTATAAATTATTAAAATACATTTATTTCTTATATTTTATTTTATACTTTTTTCTTTCAACAAAATAATAAATTTTATTATAATTGCATAGGTTTTATTTTGTTTTACCAGTTTTTCATTGAGCCTACTAACAAGCGTGTCAAATAAAAAATGTCAAAGTTACTATAATTATTGATAAGCTAAAAAAGTCCTTTTTCAAACTGTTTTTTAATGACAAATTTAGTCAAATGTGGCGGTTTTTTTAATATACCTTAACAATGTACCCTTATAGAATCGATTTCGTCTTACAAAATATATCTTGAGTGAGTTTTTGGACAAGAACAGTTGTTTAAATTATCTCTCGCCGGGATACATGAATGTAATAACTTATTAATTATTTGGTCGATCTATTTGAAATTTAGCACACTTTAATAACTTATTAACTGACACAATTTTAGGTAGTTATATTATATGCCGTTGTGTAAAAAACAAAGTTGTTAACATTTATAAATTACTTCAAAATTAAGGATTTTTTGCAACTGTCTTGGTGAATTTTTTATGTATTTTAATTTAGAAACTCACAAATTTTAATAACATTTTAAGATTACAATTTTTATTTGAACCATTTTTCTTTAAACTGCATAAGAACCGTTTTATAGGCAAAACAATGACTTTTTCACTTTCAAGATTGTTTAAAACAAAAACGAAGCAAAACCAGCTGTACGTCTTCACGAATTTTTTATCAGCTACCCCTCATATACCTTTTAGAAGCTTCAAATATCTGTATAAGATTTTTAAGTGAAATCAATAATTTTTTATCAGATAGGCTGGTGTAACATGAAAGAAAACAAAGCCACTGGTCACGACAAGATCAAGACAGAACCGATAAAGCGTTTCGAACCTAATGTTGATGATTCCATTGTCATAATCCTTTCTTGCTTCTTATTTTCTTTTTCTTTCTTAGGTAATCTACTTTTTAATACATCTTCTGAAATTGTGTTGTGCATCATTTATATGTGGTTTTATATATTGTTGTTCCAGTTGTTGATTTAAGCCTCTTTGGAAAAATCTCGTTAAAGTTTTCTCTTACTAATATTTTTTGTAGTATGAAAATTATAAGAAATACTATTTAAAAACATATCTTATTAACGTTTTTCATTCTGTTAAGAAATTTCTCAATATTGGGGCCCTTGCAAGGACGAACTAACAAAGGCGTTGAAACGTCCATTACGTTTTTAATTTAACAAACTGATGTGAATATAATTAAAATAAGTCTTCAAGATAAAATTTATCTTATGCGTTGACCTTTATAACACTCCTATATTATTTTCTATAATATATTTTATATATAATATAACCAGTTTATTATATATTCTATAACACCCCTGTATTATATTACTGAGCTATAATATAATCGTCTCGACCTGCTTATAAGGCCTAGAATTGTCATCTTTCTATAATATTGAAATAAAAATATATATTGGATTTTCCAGTTGTTTATTAATCATCTTACCATTTATAGTCACAATGAAATGCAGTTTATGCAGCAAACTTTCATAGACATAAATATATAAAATCTTTGAGTATCTGTATTAAATATGTATAATATGAAAAATTACGCTATCAATAGCACCCTAAGCTCGATTTGAAATTACTTATGCTTAACTACACGAAAACACAGAAAAATTCAGCTTAGGTCCACGAGTATGACAAGGAGACAGACAATTGAGTGACTCTCAATCAAAGGTTGACTGAGTATTAAAGTATAATAATTTACACACTTATTACATCCAAAAAATCCAACAAGTAGGAGGTGAAATCCATCGATTACAATTAACTAGGTGGATTGTAAATAATGATCGCTTATTGTATAGGAAACTATTTACCGAGCATACGAAAATCAGCATACGATAATCAGCATACGATAATCAGCATACGATTTGCGAATCTCGATTTTCAGGTGCTGTGTACTTAGATTTATTACAAATTATTATGCCGAATTTATGTGCAATGGCGCATTACCAGTTGCTGTTCGTCAGCATTTTTATGCATCTTATGGAAATAGCTGGATAAGGCGCTTCATGCATGGCCACCTAGATCGTGTGATTTTAATCCTGTCGATTATTCCGTATGGGGTCGAATGAAAGAAATGGTGTATCGAGAAAATATAAATACACGACAAGAACTAATTGGAATAAATTGGACTAAAACTAATTATTTTATGGATTTACGACAAAATTCTCGTTTCGTCCAAATAAACAAATGTAGCGTTTTTTTTTAATTATCGTAGTTTTTAAAATCTAGATTCTTTTGTGAGCGATACTAAATCAAATCTGTTTCAAAACTCTTCAGAGATTTACCCTGGAAATTTCGAATGAATTTGTGTCTTTTAATTTTTTTAACACCCTCTCTACAGAAACATGTTCTTTATTTTCTTTCATTATATACATATATATATATATATATATATATATATATATATATATATAATGTCTCGAATTTAAACGTACAACCCTCAGGAAGATATTTAGTCTTCAATGCTAATTTTTATTCATATGTTTTTGGAGTTATTTAGGGAATGAATTTGTGGACTTTGTTTCCTAGTAAAATATTTGTTTATAAAGTCAACTTGATCATAAATTAATTATACAAAATTACTAGGTCTGCAAAATATTATTCATCTCTATAGATAATAATACAGCCAATTACATATGAATTAGTAATATACAT